TCTTCTTGGGAGAAATGTCTATTCAGATCATTTGCCCATTTAAAAAACAGGCTATTTGACTTTTTGCTGTAAAGTATCATAATTCTTTTTTTTTTTTTTTTTTGAGACAGAGTGTCAAGCTGTCACCCTGGGTAGAGTGCGGCATTACAGCTCACAGCAACCTCCAAACTCCTAGGCTCAAGCAATTCTCTTGCCTCAGCCTCCCAAGTAGCTGGGACTACAGATGCCCGCCACAACGCCCAGATATTTTTGGTTGTAGTTGTCATTGTTGTTTGGCGGCCCGGGCTGGATTTGAACCTGCCAACTCCAGTGTATGCAGCTGGCGCCCTACCCGCTTAAGCTGCAGGCACTGAGCCAAGTTTTCATAATTCTTTATTTATTTAGATACAAGTCCTTTATAAGATACAAGATTTATAAATACTTTCTCCTATTCAGTGAGTCGCCTTTCACTTTCTTGAAAGTGGTATCTTTTGAAGCACATGTTTTTAATTTTAAGGAATTCCGGTTTATCTGTTTTTTCTTGGGTTGCTTGTACAATTGCTGTCATATCTGAGAAACCTTGTCTAATTCAAGGTCATGAAGATTTACCTCTATGTTTTCTTCTAAGAATTTCATAGCTTTAGCTCTTTTAAGTTTAGGTTTTTGATCTATTTGAGTTAATTTGTATATATGGTTTGAGGTAGGGGTCCAACTGGACATCTAATGCAGTCTTTTGCATTAGATATCCAGTTATCCCTGCACCATTTATCAAAAAGTGATTCTTTTCTATTGAGTTATTTTGCTTCCTTCTTGAAATCAACTGACTGTAAATGTCAGGGTTTGTTTCTGGATTCTTAATGCTATTCTACTGATCTGTTACGTATGATGCCAATGGAACACAATCTTGCTTTCTGTAGTAAGTTTTGAAATTAGGAAGTGTGAGTTTTCCAACTTTGTTTTTCCTTCTCAAGATTGTTTTGGCAAGTTTGGGTCACTTATATTTCTGTATGAATTTTAGAATCAACTTCCTATTTCTGCAAAAAACAGTTGAGATTTTGATAGGGATTACACTGAATCTATAAATAATTTGGCTGATTACTGCCATTTCGATACTAAATTTTCTAATTCATGAACACAGGTTGTCTTTATATTTATTTATGTCTATTTTTTTCAAATATTGTTTTGTAGTTTGCAGTGAATAATCTGGAATTTTTCTGTTAAATAGAATTCTTTTCTTAATTTTATTTTTGGTTTGCTGATTGTTGATTCTTTTTTTTTTTTTTTTTTGAGAGAGACTCTTACTTTGTTGCCCTTGGTAGAGTGCAGTAGCTCACAGCAACCTCAAACTCCAGGACTTAAGTGATTCTGTTGCCTCAGCCTCCCATGTAGCTGGGACTACAGGTGACTGCCACAACATAGGGCTAGTTTCAGAGATTGGGGTCTCGCCCTTGCTCAGGCTGGTCTCGAACCTGCGAACTCAGGCAATCCACCCGTCTTGGCCTCCTAGAGTGCTAGGACTGCAGGCATGAGCCACCATGCCTGGCCCGATCACTGATTTTTGTATATTGATCTCACATCCTGCAACCCTGCTGAACTAGTTTATTATTTCAAATTGCTTTCTAATGGTTTCTTTAGAATTTTCTATAAATATGATCATAAGAAGATAGTTTACTTCTTCTTTTTAATTCTGGAAGGCTATTTCACTTTACTGCCTAACTGAACAGGTCTTGGCTTGAGCCTCCAGTATAATGTTCAATAGAAACAGCAAGAGCAGACATCCTTGGATGGGATGAGAGTAGAGTTCAGTCTAGGGGCTAATTATTCTCCATACCTAATATGACCTTTCTGAGTACTCTCCTCATTCTCAATGAATCCTGAGGTTTTTCCACCTGGCTGGTAAAAATGGCGCTTTCTTTGCAACCTCAGGTAGCTTCTTCACCTGCATATGCTGCTCAGTACTTACCTGAATATTTGAGAGGGACTGTCTTCAGGTCTGGGGGCGGGGGATGGGAGGGTTCTTTGGCTCTCTGCCTTTGAGTATTCTGTTAGGACTACTCTAGCCATCTTGGTCTCTCTGGACTCTCAGAAGGTCTGCGGGACTCTGCTGGATTCTCCCTCCCCACACCACAGATCTGTTAACTCTCTCAAGAAAGCAAGCTGGGGCACCTTCTTTTTTCTTCCTGTCTCTCAAAGATCACAATCCTTCTGTGCTTATTATACGGAGCTTTGCAAAATACTGTTTTATATTTTTTGTCTATTTTTTTATTGTTTCAGAAATAAGGGTAAATCCAGCCCTCCAAATTGGCTAGAAGTGAAAGACTTACCTAATTATTCTCCTATGTAGGGGTCACATGTTCCCAAGTCTAGTAATATTTGATCAGATGCCAAAAATTATGAAATTTACATTGCTGAATTGTGGATTTGGGCATTTTTTCAGTGAATGTTAATTTCTTTCTAGTGTATTTATATCCTCAGCCTCCCCAAACTCTGATTGCTGTGTCCCCACAACTCTGAGATTGCCAGGCTCTGTTCAGATTCCCTTCCCTTGACTGCACTTCAGAATTTGCCTCCAGGCAGGAAGCCTGAGGGAGGACAGCACTCTTTTCATTTGTTTCCTCTGTCTCAGGGATCACATCCTGTGCTGCCTGTTCTATCATATATGATTTCACATATTGTATTCAGCCTCCTAGCTGTTAAAGCAGGAGGGTAATTCTGGACCCTTTTATTCTCTTATAGCCTGAAGGATGAATGTCAATTTATTTTCAAATCTGCTGGATCATTTTCATTAGCATATTATTTACTTTTATGATTTCTTCTATTTGTATAAAAATGCCATACATTGGGGGCTGGGCATGGTGGCTCACACCTGTAATCCTAGCACTCTGGGAGGCTGAGGTGGGCGGATTGCTTGAACTCATGAGTTGGAGACCAGCTTGAGCAAGAGCAAGATGCCATCGCTACTAAAAATAGAAAAACTAACTGGGCATTGAGGTGGGCACCTATAGTTCCAGCTACTCAGGAGGCTGAGGCAAGAGGATTGCTCAAGCCCAAGAGTTTGATGTTGCCATTAGCTATGTCCCATGGCACTCTATCTAGGGTGACAAAGTGACTCTTGTCTAAATAAATAAATAAATTAAATAAGTCATACATGGCTTATTACCTACTATTCAATCTACTATCTAAAGTCCTTGGTGTCTAAATCTGTCTTTTGTTGTTTTTATTCATTCTCACTCATGGTAGGCTATTTCCTTGAGTGGTGGTGGTGGTTGTTTTTAATGAGCACATATTTAGTTTATCTTAATCTGAAACTAAACCTGAGCGCTTATATTTTGGATGGTTCCCTTAACAATTATTAGCATATGACTCTGGCAGGATCCAGGGTCTGTTACTGACCTGGATCTTTAGAATCCTTTCAGGTCTTTTCCTTAATCAAGGATTCTTTAGTTCATCTACCTGTCCTCTTCCCCTCTGTAATAATGTTATCTACACAGACCCTCAGGGAGAACCCTGCTTTTCACCTGTGCTTACTGTTCACTGCTCCAGTTTTACCTCTACTTTATTGGGGAGGGGGGAGAACACATACAGCAGAAAGGCCTTCACACTACCCAGGGCACCATGCCACTGGAAGTGGAAACCTGGGTTTCTTATTTTATCCTCCTGTTGGTCTCCTAAACATGTCGCTCAAACTCCAAGACCTCATCTGTCCTTGGGCTTCAACTATGACCTCTATTTTCAAAACAGTTCCATATATATTTCCAGCTTTATTATTTCTACCATGTTTAAAATCTCACATTCTCAACTGCTTATTGGAACATCTAGATATCTGATTTAGCCTCAATATGGCAAAACAAAATACAGAATCTTTCCACGTGTCTAAAATTATTTTGCTTCCATTCACAAACTTTAAACACCTCAACTCGGAAGGAATCTTAAAAGCTTATTTTAAAAATGGAGAAACTGAGAACCAAGGATTTTTTTTTTTTGAGACAGAGTTTTAAGCTGTTACCCTGGGTAAAGTGTTGTGGCGTCGTAGCTCACAGCAACCTCCAACTCTTGGACTCAAGAGATCCTCTTGCCTCGGTTTTTCTATTTTTAGAAGACACTGGGCGTCACTTTTTGCTCAGGCTGGTCTCAAACACATAAGCTCAAGCAATCCACTTGCCTCGGCCTCCTAGAGTGCTAGGATTGCAGGTGTGAGCCATGGCACTCAGCCAGGACCAAGCATGTTAAATAACCTTTTGCTCATCACTTCCAGTTAACTTCTCCAGAGTACCTCTTTATGTCCCTTCCTGCTCAAAAAACCTCAGTGGTTGCACTTTTGTCTAGCTTGTTTTTGTTTTTTTTTTGCAAGTTTTTGGCCCGGGCTGCATTTGAACCCACCACCTCCAACATATGGGGCCAGTGCCCTACTCCTTTGAGCCACAGGCGCCGCCCCTTGTCTAGCTCTTTAGATGTTTGTGGATCTTAGGGTCAGAGTAATTCCCCCTATGGCAATAGTTGCCTCCCACCCCCACTGCAATAATCCTTTCAAGTAAAGTTTCTTGCTAGCAAAACAATACATTTCAGTGAATTCTCAGTGTTCACCAGATTTTAGCTTTGACCTTGTTTTTCTAGTCTGCTGTATCTATGTATGACTCCTCTTCTGCAGGTTAAGATTTGCCTCAGATTTTACTCTTCCTTCCATCACTCAGCCTAGAAGACTCCGGTCCTCATCTAATTCTACTAAAATCCTACTTCTTTCTCAAAATGTAGCTGAAATAGCAATTCTCTCTCTAGTTTCACCACACTGAAGTTAATTTATCCAACTGAACTTTCCAGACAGTTCTGTACTATGAATTCCTAAAACACGTGTATTAAATTCTGTTTTGTACTATAAATATTTTTCTATTTTATGTCCTTTTAAAAGTTTTCCCAGGCAGAAAGTAACTATTCTGTGTTCTCTATAATTCTAAGAGCAGTGCCTGGGACTTTGAAGCCCAATGAAGTTGGCTGAAAAAGTAGTAAACTCAAAAGTCCCTTACCTTGGTGATGTCCGTGTGATCTTTGAGCCCGTTGGTCATGCACCAATATCGCCACACATTCAGGGCATACCGGGTGGCTTTGGTAGTATTTGGGCTTACTGCACTGGTACACAGATCATTCAAGTCATCATTAATATTAAATACAGGAAATTTGTTGAGCTTAGTAGAATAAGCTAGAAACAAAAACAATAAAAGCATTAAAATAATTTGCCATGCTCTTCTTTAGAGAATTATATCTTGGGATCATATTAATAAACAGAGAGCTCCTAAAAGATAACACTTTAAAAAATAATTTTTTTCAGGTATACATATATTAGAATAAATGAAGCAGGGAACGATGTTGGTAGCATGGAATCAAGGCAGTAACCTTGCATTTAATCTCAACTATTTCACTATATATATTAACTTATGCACTAATGTAGGCATTTTAATAATAGAAAAAAATGAATGCTAAAAAACAAAAAAAATGTTCTTTCTAAAATTTTCACTGGAAAAAATAGCATTTCTATAATAACCGCAATAAAAAGAGAAAAGGAAAGAAGGAAGAAAGGAAGGAAAGAAAGAAAAATTACATACACATCCTTAGCACCTGAAGTGCTACCATTTCATTGTAACATTCTGTCTCAAATGTCTTGGGTGTCATCGTGGGAAGCCTTAAATGAAATGGTGTTGGCATGTTTCTTCAATTCTTTTCACAAATCAATAAAGAGAGAGAGATTTAAACCCTGAGTCCAAAACCCATCAACTAGCTTCAAATTAGAAGGGGAAGGCTGAATGAGAGAAAAATTAGGGAAAGAAGGAGGAATACTCCAGAGGGGCTCCCATCTTCTCAGAGGAGAGGGAAGGTATTTTAAACTGCCAAAACTACTTCGGATAAACATTGGTCTTCTTCAATACGTTTACTTTAAGTGTTGGTTGCCAAAGAGATAACCTAGTCCCTAACCGTTAGCTGTCCTTTCTTTACACCTGATGATTTGCTAAAACCAGGCTTAACCTGTTCAAATTGAAAAGGAGAGTCAAGGCAGGCAGGCCACCTCAAAATGAAAACAATGCCAACCTCTACTTTGCCTAATAGTTCTGACCCTGTCTGGAAGGTTTCTATCTTTAGACAAAGCTCTCATGACTAGTTCTGGGAGAAACAGCACAATGAAAAGTTAAGGCAGTTACCAGGGCAATGAGCAAATGGGTTTCGCTCTACCTAACTCGCAGCCCCTTTCACTGCTCACACTAAAGAGCTTCTCTCTACCCGGCCACGTCTCCTTCTGTCCCCAGGATACACCTGCACGCAGGACATCCACACCACATCTTCCCACACAGAGCTTAATAATATCCACGTAGTCTTAGTGTCAAACAAAATAGTCTTTTTTTTTTTTTCCAATTCCAATTTTGATTTCAATTCCAAACTTACGTCTACTGAGCTTTTCTCCATCCTAACCCCACTCCCTTGTTCCCTCCTTCAGTATGCGCCTCGCATTTGCTTTACTATTTTTTAAGTGTGTTCTACTTGGGTCCAGACCTCTGCAATTGGTGTGCATGTGCCTTAACACTGTATCTTCACCCTGTAAGTCTTGATCCTGCTCAGAACTGCAGAATGCACAATCTGCTTTAATAAATGCAGGCGAGGAATAAACAGTGCAGAAACTCCTGGAGGCACCGGTGTCACGTAGGTATAGTCCCCTCACCAACCCCATCGCCCTAGGTAACTCCTATTATTTGTAGGACTTACTTATTATTAATCAAAGGATTCTAGTATATAATTTATACACTATATATATTATACTATATACTTAGTACTAACTGAATGTCTACTAAATGCCAAGAGGTTTCACCTAAATTACCTATAACCTGTAAGTAAGCCCACTGTTATCCTTACTTTACAGACAAGGAAACTGAGCCTCATATGGTTAAATAACTTCATATACTGAGTCATCCAATATTTACCGAGATACTCTTTCTGTGCCAGGCATGACTTTTCAGTCATGGAACTGATAAGTAGAAGAACCAGTATTTAAACCTGAGTTTCAATGACTTCACTACCACAAGAGGATCAGACACTATAGATTTAAACTTCTCAGCAAAGAATACAGGTTAGATTACATCTGGAAAGGAAGTATAAGTTTGAATGTTCTATACCACTGTAGGATGACTATTAACAATGATACATTGTAGAATTTCAAATAGCTAGGAGGATACTGAATGCTCCCAACACAAAGAAATGATATACATCTGAGATGATAGATATGCAAATTACCTTGATCTGTTCCTATACACTATACCTATCAAAATATCACTATGAAACCCATAAATACATACATTATATGTTTTTTGTTTTTTTTTTTTTTGAGACAGAGTTTTATTTGTTGCCCTCAGTAGAGCACCACGGGCATCATAGCTCACAGCAACCCCAAACTCTTGGGTTCAAGTGATCCTCTTGCCTTAGCCTCCCAAGTAGCTGGGACTATAGGCACCTGTCACAACGCCCTATTTTTTAGAGACGAGCTCTTGCTCAGACTGGTGTTGAACTCCTTAGCTCAAGCAATCCACCTGCGTAGGACTCCCAGAGTGCTAGGATTATAAGCATGAGCCACCATGCCCAGCCTATGTGTTCATTTAAAAAATAAGAAAGAAGGGCGGCAATCATAGCTCAGTGAGTAGGGCGCTGGCCCAATATACCACGGGTGGCGGGTTCAAACCCGGCCCCGGCCAAACTGCAACAAAAAAAATAGCCGGGCCTTGTGGCCGGCACCTGCAGTCCCAGCTACTTGGGAGGCTGAGGCAAGAGAATCACCTAAGCCCAAGAGCTAGAGGGTGCTGTGAGCTGTGACACCACAGCACTCTACTGAGGGTGTCAAAGTAAGACTCTGTCTCTAAAAAAAAAAAAAAAAGAAAAAAGAAATAAGAAAGACTACACATAAGATCTCATCATCTCATGATTATGAAAAAGTATTGTGGTTCCTCAAAATTTACTTGGATTACCTTCAATAGGAGTAACTGTGTCTGATTTATTCAGATGACCCCTACAGTTTCACATGGATGATTACGTTTACTTATTACATTAAACAATTATAGGACCTTAAATAATTCTATTGTTCTTTCATTTTTACCATAGGACACATGCTACACATTGAAAAAGGAAACCAAGTCCTCGTCCAGCAGGGAAGCAGGTACACGATGCTTGTATGTGTACATAACGGGAAAGACACTGTGTGAAGATGATCAAGCGACATACACGGTTCCTTCCTGAGTATATTTAAGGATTAAACTACATTTACTTAATAAACTGCTTTTTAAATTTGGGGGATAGAAGCGACTGAGGAAATCTTTAGGAAACTAAAGATTGATGGAGAAACAAAAGTAAACATTTATAACTGAGTATAAAAAGCAGGAAAAAGGTGGGACCACTAAAGGACTGGAGTTATTGTTTCCACTGGAGGATGGGACGAGCTGCAAGCTCAGGGTTAGGAAAGTGGGGCACGGCAGTGTAGTCTGAGGACCACCAGGGAGGAACGGTCTCCTGCTCTCCATACAACCACTGCTGACGTTTCCCACCAGCACAGGCGCTGGCAAGTACAGTTGGGTAAGATGAGGGAGATTTGACATGGAAGGTTACCCTCCGGGCCAGAGAGAGGAAACGGGGCAATGCCTCCAGGAATTCTGGGTAGTCCCATTAGACACAGAGAAGGGAAAAAGAAAAACCGCTAAGAAAAGCAAAGAAACCCTCGAATGTAACACCCTCCCTGTGTCTACAATTCAGAGAGTTCCAATTTCCCAGCTTGTTTCTTTGGCACTCATTACAGCTGGCTTAAGTCCATTCACACAGCCCTGTGTTCAACTATTACCTACAGAAATGAGCTCTGTCCAGATGTATCAAACAGGAAACTTTAACAATCTCTAAGGAAGTCTCTATCAGCTACCAGTAATGATCAACCTCGACTTGAACTCTGAAGTGTGACTACACAAAGATCACTTGGCGATTGAGAAAACTATCAGCATGATGGTCACCAAGGTACACAAACACAGCAACTGATTCCACATTCCCTACTCCTCCCTCTGAAGATCAAGTTAATTAAGAAAACCAAAGACAAAATTTAAAACATCTCAATTGTATCATTAGAGTGATGTGAGAGGATAATTAATGCATGCTTAAAACAAAAACAGCCTTCACTGCAAAAGGAAAAACAAGGAAGATCTTGGAAACTTAAAATGATTGAAAAAAAAATTTTTTTAAGGAACAAAAACATCTTCATTGCAGAGAATAAAAGATAGGCGGAGGCATTTCTTCACATCATTTCGTCATTTTTATGTGCAATTAGGAAGTACCTGGGCAGATGCACCTGTTAGAACAGAACCTAGGGGGTGGGGAGCTACACTGAGGCAGAGATGGCAAATACATCCTTCTCAGAGATGGTAAGGTTTCTTGAGGATGGGGTTTCTGTGACCTTAGCACCTAGAACAGAGGTGCAGTAACATCTGTTAGGCAGCCAGTAAGATCTGAATAAAAGATTGATGTTCACGATCTGTGATTCAATCATTTACGCAGGATTCTAAGATACTGATCTTAATTGACTGTCTCTGGGTCTCTAGAGTATATTGTGCAGATTCTTCTCAAGTATAAAAACAGTCTGACTATCATTACAGTACTGCTACACATGCTTAGGGCTGACGTACTTCCCAGTTTCTCGGGAGTGCTCCACTTTGTCCTATGGGTGTAATTGTAATAGTGCCCCATTCATGTTCTAAATTATCCAGGTTTGAACAATAAATTATATGATTTTCCCTACATGTTCCGCCATTATAGGGAAGCCTCATATTCCCATTGGAAACATAAAAGGATAGGGGAGATGTAATAAAATATCTCCTGGGAGTTAGAGCCATAACATTTTGAAATGAATTTGTTGTAAGGATGAGATAGTTTCTTCTTTAGAGACTGTCAGAAATGGAAGTAATCTGTACACCATCAACATCATTATTAGAATGGTACCTAAGAATATCATCATAGAATGGTAAAGTGATAAGTAGGAATGGAATAGAAGATTCCTCAAGGTAACCTGAAAAAATAGAAAAGCTGAGTCTTAGAATGAATGTGACTAAAAGGCAAACTGGTGATCTAGAAGGAACTTTCCTACAGGGCAAAGTAATCAAAATATAAAAATATGAGGGTAAAGTTAAGACA